TCTGTGAATTTCCCATTACGTCGTAGCTACTCTGTGCTTGCTTGGAAGTTTAGGGGTTTTTTTCGCTGTAAAAAGAAGTTTTCTTCCCACGCACAGCGGACACTAATGTTTTTGTCACTTTTTATGGAATCAAACTTAAAGGTCAGTACTTCCACGCTTTAAACGCTGCACGCTCATACGCTCTCCCGCACTTGATATATTATCCATTGTTGATCTGCAGACAGCTGTTGTCACGAACGTAGCACTTGCTTATGTCACTGTCATGAGACATTCTCGCAAAAAAAAAAAAAAAAAAAAAAATTTCACGGTTTTAGTAACGCAGCGTTCCTACGGGAAAGTAACTGTAATCTAATTACCGTTTTTGCAATAGCAAACCTGTTACTTTACTCGTTACTTGAAAAAAGTGATCGGATTACAGTACTGCCCATCTCTGTTCAGAATACAGTTACTTTGTTCAAATGAATGGATTACACGGCGATATTTTCCTGTTTCATATGTTAGGCTATGCCCTCTCTATTTTTAGTTTTCCATGCCGGTGGACACCCAAACAAAACGCAGATTAAGAAGCTCTAATGTCCGTGTCTCAATCTCGCGGCTCATGTCACCTCTACTTGCGGACCGCATAATGACGAGAAGAAATGTTTTTTTAAGAAATTATTCACAAAAATGATTTAATATGAAAGCATTAGGCAGCGTGTTACAGGCATCGCCTTAAAGAATGTAGCCTCATGGGCAGTGTAGTCCGTGCTGCAGGGAGAATGGACTGCCATACCCGTTATGTGTCTGTGAGCGAGGGAGGGAGAAAAAGAAAAAAGTACGAGCTGTCACGGAGCTGGAAGCATGTAAATATAATAATAACCACTGCAGCCAAGAAGAGTGCCTGACGAGCCCAGTTGTAAGTAAGCTATTAAGACTCAACTGTACACTGTGTTCGTGTTTTCCTCCGAAACAATAAGTTCTGTTGGAGCAGCCTTTCAACCAAAGTAAAGCTAGTTTTCAGCTACGAGCCCGACACGAACCCGACATATTAGCCAGAGATCCCTTTACGGTTTTACGCCTTTACAGCTCAGAGCCGCGAACCTGTTTTACAAGTGTGGAATAGTTTTCTATACGAGATCGCTGCAAAAAGTGCAGCCTTACCTAATGTCAACCTACTGTTACTCATTTTATATTAAGATTTAAAATCTAGTTGGTATTGGTATGGCAGTAAAAGTAATAAATCACACAGCAATAGTACATTCATGTAGTTGTAAAAAGCACGAGAATATATTAAGTAATCCAAAGTATTGAGAATATGTTACTCTCATTGAGTAACGTAACGGAATACATTACAAAATACATTTTGGGGCATTTATTCTGTCATCTGTAGTGGAATACATTTTAAAGGTAACCCTCACAACACTGCTTACCATCCATATAGGTCAGTGTGGTGAGGAGAGGTGCATCTGGAGAAATATAGGTGGTATACTGGAGATCATCCATCAACGGTGGAGACAGCTGACCAGGAGCAAGTGATGTCATCATTGTTGACTGGACAGGATTCGGGTTAATGTGCTTCTTTTGACGAGCTCGGCAGTTCTGAAACCAAACCTGTATGAAAGAAGCCTGGATTAATCGCTGGTCTTGGAGTGATGGTTTCCCTTGAAAGCGCAGGGGATTGTTTTTCTTCACACAGAAAAATGTCTAGACATCAACTGTGCAAATACCCTGGATTTCTCACTATTCTCAACTTGAGGGAAAACGAACTTTGCAAGTTCATTATGTTACTTGCTGGCATTTTAAATTCTGGATTTAGCTCCAGATTCTAACTGTTTACATTAATCCAACAATTAGCGCAAAGCAATACACCAAAAGTTACACCTATGTTATGACCAGTTATGAAGAAATCTGACAGTTACTGCGAACTTTAAAATTCTTACAAAAATTGCCACCCACAGAGTTTAATTATGACCCAAAATTTGTTCACTCCAACCAACTAAGCATGCATTATTTCAAAGGGACTGCTAAATTTGCTCACTTAATCCTGTGACACGTTATTGCAGGACCTCCCTGCAGTCGTTTAGTATTGTCATTCAGGTCTGTTTTACCTGAATAACCCTGCGGCTGAGCCCAGTTCTCTCTGCCAGCTTCTGCAGCGTCTGTGCATCTGGGTTGTTATCTTTAGCAAACTGGGTCTGCATCACCTAAATAAGTGGAGATGACAAATGAGTAAATGTTTACATCACTGAAATCTAAGATGGGTTTCACTGTTATTTTAACAGACCATGGTAGCAGAGTGCTATGGTGTTAAAATGCCACTAGAGGGCAGAAAAACGACAAAATAAGCTGAACAAATATCTGGCTTATATTGTTCTTTCCTCTGAACACACTCAGCAAACAGAGCCCCAGTAACATTCACTAGTCACCATACAATCATACACAGCCATCACTTTAATATTAAAACAGTAACTTAACAGGGTTCTCTCACAGAAGAACAAAGTATTCACTGAATATTAAAAATGTAGACATGAAAAAAGACAAAGTGCTATTATTTTAGTCATC